CAAATATCAAACATTTACGCATCCTCCAGCTACCAAGACAACACCCTAAAGAAGGATGCAACATTCATACGACATTGTTATCAAAGTTCCCCTCCCCACTTCCTAGTTTCAAGACAACGTCTTCAGAAAGGAGATGACGTGCAAGTGTTGTCGGTTCCCACTAAAATCTGTGAATTGTAATTCTTAAAATCAAACAACAAAAAGGTTGCACCGGTTGGTAAACGTGAATAACAAGCTCTCCCGCGACCGCGCAGCCGCCGCGGGCGGCCGGCCACGCCCATCCTCCTCCCCGCGCGCCTCCCCCTCCCTCTTCCTCCCTGCCGCCATCGCTGACGTCCGCTGCGGGCCTGGCCCGGGCGACGTTGGTGGCGGCGGCCCCCTGGACTTTCCCCTCTCGGGGTCCGCCGATGCGGGACGGGGCGACCCCGGGCGGTGTCTTTAGGCGGCGGCGGTCCCGCGCGGCGGCGGGGGTCCCTGGCGCGAGCGGGGGCGGACTTCTGGACAGCGGCGTCGCCGTTGGCGGCGGGGGCGACGCGGCGGCGCGGTCTGGCGGCACCCGCTCGGCCCAGATTTGGGCCCTTCGGGCCCCATCTGGGCTTGGGCGGGCCGGCGGCGGGGTGGGTCTGCTTCGTGGCTTCTGGGAGGCGGGGAAGAGGCGATGAGCGGCAGGGCGCTAGCGGCGCCAACGCCGGCTTGCTGCAGCGTGGCGGCGGGGCTTAGCGGGCCCGTTTTGGGCCTGGCCGGGCCAGGGGTGGCCTGGCATGCCCTGCTGCCGCGTCGGACGGCTACCGCGATAGTGCCGGAGGTTCTGGCCTCCTGCACGACGGCGGTGGAGGTGGTTCCCTCCCGTTCGGCTTCGGTGGTGCTTCTCCCTCCGCGGGGTGCTTCTCTCCGGTCCTCTTGGGCTCGTGTTGGTGTTCGTAGTGAGGCGGTGTGGGTGGCGGCGCAACCGCATTGGCGCATGGTGGTGGGCGGCTGTCTGGCTGGTCGGCTCCGGTCCGTTGGGCGGTGGGGTTGGAGTGTGGGAGAAATCCTTGCCGGTTCTTCGGCTCCGATGCGGTGACACCTGCGGGTGCCACCATTCCTTCCTGAAGGGTGTCGGTGATATCCATCCCCCACCTCCCTCCGCGTGCCGGGGAAAACCCTAGGACAAGTCCGGGCAGCAGCGTCGGCGGCGTCGCATTCCTTCTTGGAGGTGTTGCTTGGTGCGTGGCGGTTCGGAGCCTCGGGCTGTGGTGGTTTGTTTCTGGAGGGCGTAGCGGTGGCAGGTCATCCTTGCTTTGTCGAGCTGCGTTGTTGGCATTAGTTTCTTCTTCTTCTTTTTTTGGGCCTGATGTGTTGTTCGCCCCAGCGTCCTTTGTATCGGTGTTGGTTGCTTTGGAATACAATACGGGGGGAAACCCTTTTTGGTAAAATCAAACAATCCACATCTAAACTTGCAAAGAATTGAAATCCTCATATTTCCATTGAAAAAAAAAACATTACTAGTATCAACCAAGACAAAAATTCATGAAGTAGTCTAGTACTATCAATACTAACATTTACCATCAAGTTACATTATGAGATTTGGAAGAAAAAAATGGACCCCATCCCTGCACACTACAAGACTACACCAAGCTGTACAAAGGAGACAGTCCATCACATTTCACCAGTACTATTCTGCTAGTGCCAGCATAAAAAACCAAAACAAGCAATAGGAAACAAAACCACATATGTTTCTTTGACCAGATCAGGAGATGTGTATGCGTGGCTGCTACTGTGTGCTGTGTGATGCATGGGAAGATATCCTTGTGTTTGCTTCTTTGTCTTTGTGCAGTGCTGCCCTGCCCTGTGAGCAGCTAGGGCCACACCCCTGCCATTGATGCAAGCAAGGCCATCTTTGTTTCAGGCTTTCAGTTGAGACTCCCAGCTGTACACATCCTCCCAACTGCCATACCTCATCACTCTCCTAGCTTTCTTTCTCATGTATGACACCTACATTTATTCCCCCAAGGTAATTTTCTCATTTTCCTGTGGAGCTTTGTTTTGCTGTTTCCCTTGAAATTCCTGTAACACCTGAATTCACAACAACACATAATTATAATTAACTCGTTGTTAATAAAATTTCTTTGAAATAATTCTAACTTTTTACTGCGGATCATTATACAATACACATGGTCTAAAATAATTAGTTCTTCTTTGCTAGGGCCAGGCAGCAAGCAGGCAGGCAGCCGTCCAGCCAGTGAGGTGCCCACACACTTCTAGGTAGGAGTACTCTTTTGAACCAACAGAATTCTAACCAAGCTTTGTCCCCAAGCCTGTTTTTGACCGCATTGGTGACTGAGAAGCTATACAGGTATTTTAATCCTTTTTCCAGGATCATGATCTCCATCCATCCAGCAATGGGCCACCAAGATTCAGAAGGGAGGCAGATAGTATATTCTCTCTGCGCTTCAGATGCAAGTTACCATTGGTTGATGGACCATGTATTGTAGGTTATCTTCTGTTTAGTCACCTCAACATTGTAACAGTTGATTTGCTCAAGAATATGTATGATTTGATCTGTCCCATTCTTCTTGACCAGCTCGATTTCTTAGGTCTTGTAGGTGATAAAATTAAGAGTTGGATTGTACAGAATGAAAATCAACATGTGTTGTGCTGACTCTAGGAATCAGGTCTGGAATAGGTGCGCAGATCTTTATAATAGATATTGTGCCTAGGATCACATAAGATAGGATTGCCAGCTACAAAAATTATGAATCAAGAGGTATGACTTAATCTAGATCTTACATCGGATCTGGATTGAAGAGATCCTACCAATATCGTAGAATCCGAATGAACAAGCATTATATTGGTATAAGCTACTGGTTACTGCCATATCCCAAACCATGAACAAACTAGTTGTTCCCAAGGATCATGTAAGCGCTAATATGCTTCTCTAAATGGAAACACCATGTTTATGAACACTTTGAATTTTTTTTTAACCCGAACTATATATTTTTCACACAAAACAAGTACTTAGAGTTCTATCTTCCATGCACTAGCCTAACTCAAATGGAGGTTCCTTGATAAGAACTGAATGGACGAAGAGAAAAAACACTTGAATGAGAATAGTAAGATTTGTGTCCATGCTTCGATGCAGAAGAGCCCCTTTTCATTTTTATAACTAACAAAATTAAAGAAAGAAAACCAAGCAATGAAGGAGAGAGGGGATGCATGCAGGGGCAGGAGTGCAGGACGGTGGTGCCTCAGAAAGTCACTCCATTGCCCATGGGGGCATTTTCATTGCCCCAGTGCAGGGGCAAGAGGGAAAGATGCAAAAGCTCTTTTTACCAGCTGTAAGGCAGTGTGCCATGCAAGACCTGCATTAGTTAGTGGATGAGGCCACAAGACCAGCTTTAGGGTTTAGGGTTTAAGCCAAGAGGAGAAAGAAAGGGCTCTCCATATGAAAAGATACCATCATTATTGTTTCCATGAATGTGGTGTAATATATGTGGCATGTGTTTGTTCATCTTTTCAGCAAGAGCATCTTGAGTCCTGACACCTTCTAGTGGTGCTGGTGTCTTCACCCAAGAATATGGAATTAGTCTGTATTATATTTGAATATACTACTGAATCAAGCTCACAGGTTTTAATTCTGATGACATTTTACTAAAAGATTCTTGCATTTATTATCCCATACTGAAATCTTGGTCTATCCAGGACTGATAGATATTCTGCTCATCCAAATGCACATCATGATCAGGTTTATGCATTTCCCAGGAATTGTCATTTTTTGAAGCTACATTTATATTGTTCAAATGCCACAACTTCTTGTAAACGACTTCTCTTAAGAAGTCCCAATTATCTACTGCACCTTCCTTTGTGGTGTGCTCCACTAAGTGTTAGAAATGTCAAGCTCCTTAATCTTTAGGCAATTATTGATACAAAGTACTAAACTCATGTCTCTTGTGCACTAATACCATTCATGCGCAACACTAGTCACTCTTCCAACAGCACACACTGATGCGATGCTTTCATTAACATGCCCACTAATAATTACAAAAAGGATGCAATGTACTTACCCTTAGGTACTTACTGATCATGTGGACGAGAACTTACTTTGCAAACCACATAATCTTCTACTACATTGCTTTAAATGCAATGAAACCCAGCACAAAACAATGCAATTATGCAAATGTTATTGTTTGTTCACTAATAGGGGATTTGCAATATGGAATCAAGCAAGTGCCATTCAAAGCTGGTCGCAATGTAACAGGAAAAGTTGTCTTGGATTCTCATCTCTGCAGAAAGGGAGAGGAAGAGAAGGAGAAAACATTGGCACAGCACTGAATGAATGGCACTGAAAAACCTGCAGCTGCTGCAGCAGAACTGATCAAGAAACCCACAGGGTCATCAAGGCCAACACATGCACACATACATACACAAAATTCACCAATCTGATCCCATTTCTCAAGAACAGAAGCAGATGTTACAGAAGTTACAACTACTCCCCAAGGAGATTGTCGCAAACTAATGTAACCCATCCATCCGCAAGTACAGTGCAGTGCATCTTAGTGGAACACCACTCACTGATCACACATCCACTTGCAACCTTTTTCTTCTTGGCTCTATAAACAATGGCCAAACCCCCAGCCTTTCAGTGCTACTACTGCATCCAACAGCTAGCATCTCACCATATGCAACGTAAGATGGCATCCACCACTATGGCAATACCAAAAACAGTACAGATTTGGGGTGAATTTCTCACAGGAAATGTGCTCCATTTGGGCACCGGAATTGGGCTCCAGTGAAGCTCTCCTCTCCTTAGGAAAGCTCAGCCCAGCCCTTATCTTCGCTCACCGCTTACCCCTCTCACAAACCAATCCAAACCAATCCAACAGCATTGCCAATGCCAACCATGGCAATGGCTCTGAAAGAACCTAAACAAATTTGAACAAGGAAAAAACAAAATGAAGATCCAAACCAAGCCCCCTTAGACATCTGACAAAAAATTGCGTGTCCCCGGCGGTGCTAGCTTCTCAATGGATTCCCGGCGGCTCCAGTCTGATCCGCTTGTTCATCTCCGACACCGCTGCCATGAAGGCAGCAGTGTCGGCAACATCGTCAACAAGAACAGAATCATATGTACTGGTGGCAACTTCATTGGAGTCTGAACATGGCAATGATCTCTTGCCATTGCTCTTTCTGTTTCTCAAGTCGCCAACCATCATGCTGTAGCAGGCATGTACATGCTCCTGATCAATGAAACAGACAAAGGTTGTTCAAACCCAATGCTCATTTCATCATCCAAATGAAACATTACTATGATCAAAGTGATGCAAAAGGGTTATTTATTTAGTTTGTGCAAGAAACCTTCTCAATGGGGCATGGTGGAGATAGATTGTCCATCTTGGACTCCAGTGCTTCTTTGGTCAGTAGAGCTCCATAGGATGCAGCCAAGATTGCAGCTGCAGCCACAGTAGATGGCCTGTAATCCAGCACACTGCCGGCTGCATGAACACAGCACGAATCAATCAGACAAAATGCAAGAAAGGTCGCAAGATTTCTTTCAGAAGGTGTGCAGGACGAAGATGAACCTTCGGCTGTGGCAAAGATGAAGCCGATGGACTTGAGGGCGACGCGGGCAGGGTCATGCCCGCCGCCGCCGCGGCCGTCGTGCCGGTCGAGACGGGAGGAGAAGCAGGGAAGGTAGTCGAAGGGCGTAACGGCGGCCATGCGCCAGCCGAGCGTGGACAGGACGAGCAGCTCCATCCGGCGGACGGAGGCGGAGCAGAACTCGTAGCCGCCGCCGGCGTCGAGCTCCGACAGCGCCGGCGCGCAGTACTCCTCCATCTTGGCCGCCACGGAGACGCAGGCCACGGACAGGAGCCGCGCCGCCCACGGCATGGCCGCCCTCTGCACCAAGGCACGCACACAACCACATCATCCTCCCGTTCCTAAGAAGCAGAGAGGCTAAATTTGTTTTACGGCGGCGGTGCGGTGATTGATTACATCGACGCGTCGCCGGAGGAAGAAGCGGTCGAAGTAGGCGATGGCCAGGTACGCCGTGCGGTGGCCGAACCCGAAGCAGCCCCGCGTCTGCAAATGCAAATCAGGTGCCGGTTCCAATGGCGTCAGTGACCGATCGATCGATGCTCGCACCGAGGAACTAATCGGGAGAGCGAGGAGCTGAGTGAGTGCTCACTTCAAGGATCCATTTGACGGCGGCGAGGCGCGCCTGCAGGAACCAGTCCTCGGAGGCGGCCGACGAGCAGTCGGCGTCGCCCGAGTCGGAGGAGGAGCAGAAGCTGGCCTCCTTGGAGACCAGCTGCTCCACGTACTCATCATCGCCGTCCTCATCGTCGGCGGCGGCGCCGCCGCCGACATAGAACAAGAAGAGGTCGCCGTCGTCCACGACGCCGTCCCCGAGCTCGGCGCCGTCTTCGGGGCAAGTGAGCGAGAAGGCGCACGACTCGTAGTCCTCCGCCTCCTCCATCCCCGGCATCTCGCCTCGCCTCTCGTTACTGCAACCAGCCAGTAGCTGACTCGCCGTGCTAAGAGATGTGTCAAGCTTAAGCAAGAAGCATGGACGAGAGAGAGCCGCGTTCTCTGACGCTCGTCTCCTACGGCGGTCAGCGGCGGCGGCGGCGGCCGGACTGAGAGCAGAGTGGGGAGTGAGAGTGAAGAGACGAGGAGGCTCCTCCCTTCTATTTAAGTGCCACTCGTTTCATCAAAATTTTCCTTCTTTTTTTACTGCTCCTTTCACATGCCGCTAGCCAATGGCATTCTTGGATAGTTACGGCGATGGATAAATCCAACGGGAAATGGGATGAGATGAGATTCATGGGTACGATGGTACGTCTGAGTGAATCTAAAAGTGTATCCGTGTATTTACGCATGTGTCAAGACTTTATCAAGGGGGTATTTACTCGGCGATGATAGAGCCTAATAAACACATAATGGATGCTCATGTTAGTACTGTGGTGCCTAGGCAAAGGACGTCCTCTCTACCGGGTGCACGGATCTGGCAGTTTGGATACGGAAAATAGGACGAAAACAACTATGTACGTGGTTTCGTATTTCGAATTTTAGCGAGTTTACTATGCGGTTAACTTTGGTTATTTCTCGGTAGAAGAAAATGATGAAGATAAAAAATTCCAGCAATTCTTTTTTTTTTCTGAAACGACATACACACATCTACACTCACCCCTATGGACGCAGCATGCACATCCCCTATGTGTTTTCGGATTCTTGAATTCCAGTCACTTCATATTGTTGTGTTTGTTTGTTTTCTTAAAGGATGATGACCTCTGACCTCTACATCTGGATGATGCATGCAGTCATTTTATTTACTATTCACAAAAACCTTACAAAGTATTGCATCAGTAAGTCCGAAGCCATCATTTTGGCAACATCCGTCGCTACTCCTATCCACTTGATGAAGGGGTGCCGAATGTCCGAACCAAATATCAAACAGACCTCGCACGAAAACCTAACATCTAAAGCCAGAGGCCCAACCAAGCCTCTTGTCGGGTCTGGGGTAAACACCAATCCGGTGCACTCTCAGCGGGCACGGCATGCGCCTGCTGCAGAGGCCGTCGCCACCATCTTCCACCGGCTCATCTTATTCAGAGCAGGTACTGACGCATCCATCTTGCCAGACCTGTCGTCGACGCCACCACGACGCCAGACAGCGCCCCAGCCCTGCGCGAGTCCATCATCTCACGCCCGTCACTGTGTCCCTGCTGCGCCACGCCGCCGAGACTCATTGTCGTCGACGCAGTAGATGTACACCGCTCCACTTCTTGCGTCCTTCGTCCAGCAGCTGCTCCAAAACAATGCCCTCGTGAGGAAGAGTGACACCGAGAGCGTCGCCATTGTCCGATCCGGGAGTTGTTGTGTTTTTTTTTTTGATAAATAAACAGATCCAAAAAATCACGTAATTCAAATGAAAATAGTCATCGAGATGTCTCTTTATAATCGTGATCCGGTTGTATTAGGTGCGACCGCCTCTTAGATTGGCTCTTTGCGTGCTTTATGAGACACCTATCTCATTAGATAAGGCACTAATAGAGCACGAATCGTAAGGTTGATGAACTTTTTTCAAAAAGGAGGGTATCTCGGCCTCTGCATCACATGATGCACACAATCATATGTTATTAAACGTGAAATAAGTTCAAGCCACCGAGTACTTGACAATAAAACAAATAAATGGAAAATGCGACCACAAGCAGTTGAACCGAAGATTACATAGCTCATCCACATAATCTACGATTGGCTTGCGAGCCAAACTGGTTGAACAAACCCCGCACAACCATTTCCAGCCGGCTGCACCCACAGGCCATAAGCGCCCACTCATCCACATGTTGCAGTGCTGACCACATACAGATCAAAAGTGTAACTCTGTAGATAACCTACAAGAAATTAGAAGAAGATGGTATGTTAAAGAAAAAATGCTTCTGGCAATTCCATGTTGCCCGGAGAATGGCATAAACTCCCACATGAATTTGGCCCTTCAGCCTATGATGAATGCCAGTTTCCGAACAAATTTGAAATACTCGTTAGTGGTTCTAAATTGTATTTAATATGAATTGTGTTGGTGAAGTGATCCGCGCAGGGCTTCGCCTAAGCACTACGACAATATGACAGGAGAAGTAAATGGTGGAGGGGGGCACCGCACACGGCTAAGAGACAACTATTGACTGTTGTGCTTTGGGGTGCCCCCTGCCCCCGTATATAAAGGAGGAGAGGGGAGGCCGGGCGGCCCTAGTGGCGCTCCAACTGGGGGGAGTCCTACTAGGACTCCCAGTCCTAGTCGGCTCCCCCCTTCCTTCCAACGGAGAGGGGAAAAGGGGAAAGAGGGGGAGAGGGAGAAGGAAAGGGGGGTCGCGCCTCCCACCCCTTGTCCAATTCAGACTGGCATGGGGGGCGCGCGCCTCCTCTTGTGGTCTGCCTCCTCCTCTCCACTATGGCCCATGAGGCCCATTAACTTTCCCAGGGGGTTCCGGTAACCTCCCGGTACCCCGAAAAATCCCCGAACCTCTTCGGAACCATTCCGGTGTCCGTACATAACCTTCTAATATATCAATCTTTACCTCTCGACCATTTCGAGACTCCTCTTCATGTCCGTGATCTCATCCGGGACTCCAAACAACCTTCGGTCACGAAAACACATAACTCATATAATACATATCGCCATCGAATGTTAAGCGTGCGGACCCTACGGGTTCGAGAACTATGTAGACATGACCGAGACACATCTCCGTTCAATAACCAATAGCGGAACCTGGATGCTCATATTGGTTCCCACATATTCTACGAAGATCTTTATCAGTCGAACCGCAATGTCAACATACGTTATTCCCTTTGTCATCGGTATGTTACTTGCCCGAGATTCAATCGTCGGTACCGTTATACCTAGCTCAGTCTCGTTACCGGCAAGTCTCTTTACTCGTTTCGTTGTGCATCATCACGTAACTAACTCATTAGTCACATTACTTGCAAGGCTTCATATGATGTGCATTACCGAGAGGGCCAGAGATACCTCTCCGATACTCGGAGTGACAAATCCTAGTCTCGATCTATGCCAACCCAACAAGCACCTTCAGAGATACTTGCAGAGCATCTTTATAATCACCCAGTTACGTTGTGATGTTTGATAGCACATAAGGCATTCCTCCGGTGTCCAGGAGTTGCATAATCTCATAGTCGGAGGAATATATATTTGACACGAAGAAAGCAGTAGCAATAAAACTGAATGATCATTATGCTAAGCTAACAGATGGGTCTTGTCCATCACATCATTCCACTAATGATGTGATCCCGTTTATCAAATGACAACTCATGTCCATGGCTAGGAAACTTAACCATCTTTGATCAACGAGCTAGTCTAGTAGAGGCATACTAGGGACACAGTGTTTTGTTTATGTATTCACACATGTATCAAGTTTCTGGTTAATACAATTCTAGCATGGATAATAAACATTTATCATGAATAAGGAAATATAAAATAACAACTTTATTTTTGCCTCTAGGGCATATTTCCTTCAAAATCTTGGGGGACTAAAACATTGTCTTCATCAAACATAGCATCCCTAAGCTAGTGGCTTTGCATATCATTAACATCGTGGATATTCAAAGAGTTCATACCAACAACATTGCAATCATGCTCATCATTCAAATATTTTATGCCAAACATCCTACAGAATTCTTCTTCTATCAATTGAGCACAATTTTCCTTTCCATCATTTTCACGAACGACATTATAAAGATGAATAATATGATGCAACCTCAAATCCATTTTTTTGCGGTTTTCTTTTATAAAGCAAACTATGATAAAAGAAGAAACTAAAAGATTCGATTGCAAGATCTAAACATATACCTTCAAGCACTCACTTCCCTGGCAATGGCGCCAGAAAAGAGCTTGATGTCTACTATGCAACTTTATTCTTGTAGACTCGTTTTGGGCCTCCAAGCGCAGAGTTTTGTAGGATAGTAGAAATTTTCCTCAAGTGGATGACCTAAGGTTTATCAATCGGTGGGAGGCATAGGATGAATATGGTCTCTCTCAAACAACCCTGCAACAAAATACAAGAAATCTCTTGTGTACCCAACACACCCAATACAATGGCAAATCTTATAGGTGCACTAGTTCGGCAAAGAGATGGTGATAAAAGTGTAATATGGATGGTAGAAATATATTTTTATAATTTGAATAAATAAAAACAGCAAGGTAGCAATTGATAAAACGGAGCACAAACTGTATTGCAATGCTTTGAAACAAGGCCTAGGGTGCATACTTTCAGTAGTGCAATCTCTCAACAATGCTAACATAGTTGGATCATGTGATTATCCCTCAAAGTGCAATAACAAATCACTCCCGAGTTCCTATTAGCAGAGAACAAATGATAGAAATTGTTTGTGGGGTATGAAACCACCTCAAAGCTTTTCTTTCCGATCAATCTATCCTAGAGTTCATACTAAAATAACACAAATCTATTCTTTTCGATCAATATAACCAAGAGTTCGTACTAAAATAACACCATATGACACACATTAACCAACTCTAATGTCACCTAGATACTCCAATGTCATCACAAGTATCCATGAGTTAATTCTACGATATGCATCAAACAACTTCATGATCATAATATTCAATCCACACAAAGAACTACAAGGAGACCCCAAAGTTTCTAACGGAGAAAAGATAATAAAAACATGCATCAACCCCTATGCATAGGTTACCCCAATGTCACCTCGGGAATCCGCAAGTTGAGTGCCATAACATACATCAAGTGAATCAATATGATACCCCATTGCCACCTCAAGTATTCATACCGCAAGACATACATCATGTGTTCTCAGATCTGAAAATTCAATCTGACAAGACAAAACTTCAAAGGATAAAGATTCAATTCATAATAACAAGAGTGGAGAGGGGAGAAACATCATATGATCCTTCTATGTTAACAAAGCCCGTGATACATCAAGATTGTGACATCTCAG